TCAAACATAGTGACTATAGTAGCAGATTATATGCTTGCTCTATATTTTTCTGACCCCCGATCTGTGCTGATTTGTTGTGACAGACGGTAACTAGTAACCACCCAACTTGTATGTTCTTCTAATAAATTAGATTATGAGATCTTTAAATTGGTTTGAGATTGCTGAATAACATAGTGTTATAGTTTTCAAGGATTCAGTGTATTTATTAAAGCATTTAAAAGACATGCAGTCACTAATTTATGCAGATTAAAATCTCCAATTATATTGTTATATAATTAATTATTAATTGTTAATGCAGCCATAATCAGTACAGTTTCTTACCTATATTTTCATGTTAGTATGCACCAAGCATATTTTTCACTCTCATTCTCTAGGCTTCTATAACCTTTGCACCAATCAATTATTTAAAGAAAATGTATCATTGGCACCCACATGAAAGTGAATCAATTAAGCATCAAGAAATCATTTTTTCATTTTGCACAAGAATTTAAAGACAATGTACTCTTTCATCATTTTTATCTTTTTCCAAGTGGCTAGACAAGTAGATAGTTGGTTAAGAAACATGATATTAGCCAGAATTTGGCTAAATAAGTAGAAAGTCAGCTAAGAAACATGGTACTTGCCAGCAGTTAGCTAAACTAGTAGATACATGTAGTTGGCTAAGAAATATGCCAGCAGTTGGCTAAACTAGTAGATACATGTAGTTGGCTAAGAAATATGGTACTTGCCAGCAGTTAGCTAAACTAGTAGATACATGTAGTTGGCTAAGATATATGCCAGCAGTTGGCTAAACTAGTAGATACATGTAGTTGGCTAAGAAATATGGTACTTACCAGCAGTAAGTTAAACTAGTAGATACATGTAGTTGGCTAAGAAATATGCCAGCAGTTGGCTAAACTAGTAGATACATGTAGTTGGCTAAGAAATATGGTACTTGCCAGCAGTTAGCTAAACTAGTAGATACATGTAGTTGGCTAAGAAACATGTGTGTATATTTTTTACCATTAGCAGAAGCGCAGAATTCGATTGGTTCATCATCTTTTGACAGACAATTATACTATGTTAAACAATACTATATTTGTAATGTAATTTGTTTTTCCTTGCAGTGTATTTCTTTCATGTCGACTCAAGACAGTTCCGGGCTTCCATGATCCAGATGCAGTTACTGGTAAAGAAGTTTACCGAAGTAAGTAAACAAAAAGATAATTCTTTATATCCTTGCCTAGGATTGATAATACTACTGCCACTGCCTCCTTTATTAATAAAGTGACTGAGGGATCTAATAAATAGTTTTTGAAATATGAAAATTGTTTAGATTGAAAGTAAATGCTGAACCTGTTATATGTAGTTGATTTATTTTATTTTTAAAAATTGATTTGTGCATAACTTTTTTTAATTGTCTATTTTTTCATTTTTAACAGAATATTTTGTTCGTTTTTACATTAACATTTCTTTAGAATGCATAAATTTAACAGAAGTCACTGACCAGGTATTGTTCATGTATACTACATCTACAATCTCTGAAAAAAATGAAAAAATCTGATGAGCATACCTACTGCAGTTACAAGGATTTAGTCACAACAATACTGGTTGATAGTTTTAATCCCTGTTTTAAGTATGATCAGTAATCTGCCTAACTTTTAGGTCAACACTATGAAGAATAAGTTAAAATTATGGATGTCAATGATACATGATCACTTGAAACATGTAATTTTTTATAAAAAAGCAAAATTAAGCTATATAGATATATATCTGATAGCCGGCTTGGAAGTTAAGTTTCACTAGCTAGAACTGTACTTCTGTAATCATGAGATGTAAATATTATCTGTATGTGTATACATGATGTACATTTATTACTTTCTGTTTTTAATTTTTTAAAACTAACACAACTTCTGGCAACTTATTTTCTATACTGACTTGATCTGCATACAAACATAGAATCTATATTTGAAATACAAAAGCACTCTACAATCTGTCTTTAATCACATGAACTAAAAAGTCTGCAATCAATTTAAGAATAAGTTGATGCAGTTAAATTATCAGCTTTTCAATTCTAAGAATTTGTGTCCTGGTGGTGGAATTCATTTATTCAAATTCTTGTTTCTATTAGATTTAAAGTAGGCAGGTATTGAGAATAGAGAATGTGGTTAAACTGAAATTAAATTATCCATATTTTCATTAAAAACAATTCAATAAAAATGAAAGATTAATTGAATAAATTGATGTATCAATTAATTACCAACATTCATATGTATGTGATAGTTGGACTGAAATTCCCCACAACTGATATCCCCAAATTGTGTTATGACTCAGTAATGTGTATCCATGGCAATACATATATGGTGTTATTTTGTAATTAATATCAATGTTAATGATGTTTGGTGGGGTTTTAAATATGATTGAGGAACTAAGTGGTCATTATGTACAAGTACATCTATATTTATTTTCTTTATAATGTACATCATGTAATAGAT